CCCCCCCCCCGCGAGGCGGTGGTAGGTGCTGTGCGCGCGCATGCGCGCTGGCTCCCCCCGCCTCGTGCGCGCGGGCGCGCCGCCGCCCGCCGCCATGTCGGGTGCTCCGGGCAGGAGAGAGCGGCGCGGGCCGCGGCACCACCACCAACAACAACAACACCACCACCAACACCACCACCACCACCACCAACAACAACAACAGCAGCAGCAGCAGCTGCTGTCCTCGGGCCGCCCCCGGCCCTGCGGGCCCAGCCCGCGCTGCCCCCGCCGCTGCCTCCCCATAGAGCCGCCCGCCCACTGTGGGTGTCTGTGCATCACCTCAGCCGTGTTCTGTGGAAAACAGCCCTTTTGTTACCAATGACAGCTTTTCTAAAGTACAGCCGACCTCGGCAGATGTTGGGAGGGTTGCACAATAGTTTAGTGAAAAAGAAACGCCGTTTTTGCCGTTCTCCTTACCCTCTCCCACCCMTACCCCCGTTTCAGCTCTGCATGTGTTTGCTGCTTCAGTCCGGCAGCAGTAACTGCCCTGCCCTTCCATCCCCTTTCTCTGCGTTTTTAGTATTTTCTGGCCAGATGCGGTGCTAGAAATGATGAGAGGAGGGAAGTGAATGCCTGGGAGGAGAACACAAATGGATTCTGTGTTAAAACTCCACATAAATTTGACCAAAAATAAATGTAAATCATATACACTGGCTTTAATAAAGTTTTAAAGTACATTTTTTTGGCATATATTTTTTTTTTCTAAGAGCTTATATATCTAGTGAGAACTTTGTGCTGTGGAGGAAGGAGTTGCTGCCTCTGGAGAGCAGTTGTACAGCGTGTGTGAGCACTGTCCAGGTGCATTTACAAGTGTTACCAACTTAATGTTCTGGTTGCCAGTACCTCTAATGTATAAAGGTGGGCAAGCACAGCTTACCTCTGTCCTTTATTTTTGTATTTTTTGAGSGTTCTTGCAATAAATCGCAGTTACGGCCCTTCAGGCATAATATGGCGATTTGTTTTGGGGCCTGGTGACAGTTTCTGGTTCTGCCCCTGGTTTCCCTCTGCGGTGGCAGCTCTGCAGGTGACACTGTCTCGTGCCCATCCTGGTCCGGGGTCCTGCATCTCGGGGCAGAAGATTCCAGTACCTTTCAACCAAGTGTTCAGTATAGTTCAGAGGTGAATAAAAGCATAAAAGACAACCCACTTTATGGAAAGCATGAAAAAATGGTGCTTATTATTTGTTCGTAAGGAGTTTTCTCTTTAAAAGCGTGTCCAGAGCAGCTCTGAAGATGTAAATACCARCACTGGGGCTGTTGGTGCTGATGCTGCCGCCCCCGTGGAGCAGCCGCTGCYGTTGCAGCCACCGAAGGCAGGAGCTGCCTTGGCTTCCAGCAGGGAAAGCGCCACGATGGTCACGTCCTGCTGACGTCGCTCCGGAAAATAGAAGCCAAGGCGTCCAGCGTGTTAAGGCCTGGCTCTCAGGAATGACTTCCTGGGCAAAGGGGCCGCAGGTGACACGGTGCTGCGCTCTCAGAAGCGAGCCATGCCGGGAGGACTTGGTGGGAATGGTGAGAGCTTGTTATGAAAACAGCACCRCTTGGTTACGCTGAGGCGTTTGAATAGGCATACAGTGCGCTAGGAACAGTGGAAGTGTTTCCTAAAAGGGGAGAACTTCTCYGTTCTCTCTTGTTTAAGAAATCCTGCCAAGATTGGAGTTTGTGTGCTCACTGCCATCTTGTTACAGGTATTTACAGCAGCCTCGCGCACCTCTGAAGTGTGCATGGGCAGTTTCCTCATCTGCTATTACATTTGTATAATATATGTATACATATATGTATATGTATATGCATATGTATAATATATTCACCGGCAGCTTGGTCAGTAAGGCATGCAGAAGGGCTCGGAAACCAGCCCTGCTAGTTGGAGTAGCCCAAGATTTCGGGGTGTGCTGCTCACTGTAGCCCTGTTTGCAGAATTTATGAGAGATCTGATTTGGTGTATTTTCTAATTGACTATAGAGTCAGATGCCATTCTTCAATTGTTGAGAATCTATTTTATCCCATTTGAACATTGGAATAGTCGTCTCAACAGAGCATCTGTGTTGCTTCTCAAATCCTTAAGATTTGCTGCAAACCATTATAAAATAGAACAAAATCTATATTGGGATTAAACTGGAGAGCTACTGCTTTTACTGTTTCTAAGCCCATATATACGTTGTAGTTAAAGTTAATACTATAAACTGTAATCCTTGCAATTCCTGGCAGTGCCCAAATCAAGAGTTTATTAATACATAAACTTTAAGAGACCTTTACCTAGGACTTTTTTTTTTTATCATGTTGAAGTAAAATCTTGAAATCTCACATTTGCTATGTAGGATTAGTGGCGATGCTGCAGGATTCAGTTTAATCTAAAGTGTAAACTTCTCCCTACTCGAACAAGAACAACTAAACTCTCACTAGAATAGAAGGAGTCTCGTTCCAAGGTTGAAAGCAGATGATGTGTGTTTTCATAACTATGTCTACTATCAGGCTTTCCTATCTCACTTTGTTTAGGCTCCGGAATCACCGGGGAGGTTGGACCCGTACACTCAGCTGTGGCAGCAGCAGTTTCTCATCTCTGGGGCCCACTTTTCCCACCAAGAAGAGGTCCTTGCCCCCTTGCACCAGCTCTTCATGCCCATCCTGCATGTCTCTGCAGACCGCCACCCGATCCCTCTATCCACCCTTCCAGCCAGTGACATTTTCCTCTTTCCTGCCCCCCAGGTACAGACCTGAACATTAATGGTATGAAAAGCACAATTTACCACAGGAAGTCCCGACCTCTTGCGAAATATGGGCTGTCACGAGCATGCAAAGATAGATGTGACTTTGCTGTTCTGTTTCGGAAGTTTCAATCTGCCTGAATGCTTTCGGTTTTGCACATAGTGAGGTCAGCTTTCAAAGAGGATTTTAAGTTATTTTGGTTGCTCCCAAGTGCGAGTTTGCTATCTAGAGTCTCTTTGTTGTTGTTGTTGCACATGTTATCTTAGGCAACCATCAAATGAATGATTCCAATCTGGACTTAAAATGTTAAAGGTTGATGATTAGAGTGCACTGGACCCGTTCCAAAGCTCCGTGCATCTTAAGCATGCGTCAAAATAAAATGTAAAAGCTGTTTCCAGTTTTCTAGGTTTGGGATGGACGAGCTAACCCCTGGGCAGTGCCGTTTCCAAGAAATCAGAAGGTCTTTTCCAGTGCAACCAGCAGGGTGGGTGCTTGTACACGGAACACAGCGCGCTTGGTGCCGGGCAGCTGCAGGAAGGCGCCTGGGCAGCGCCCAGCACAGTGAGAATATATATATATATATATATATATATACACACACACACACACACATTTTAGAGTGACATTTACATTTTTGCCCTGTTTTATATGCACTGGTAAAATACTTTCAAATACTGTCAAGCTAAGCAAAGAGCAAGCTGATCTAAAAGACAGTGTTGCCTTAGCAACTATGCCCTTAGTTTCAGGATAGCCTAAAGCTATTGGATTCTAATACATGGGGTTTTAAATATCCCTCTGGACACTGCAAGAAATGGAGGAAATGGAGGAAATGAAATGTTACATGAAGCTAGTTATTACATTTTTTGTTTTGCTGTTATGTCTGAATGATTGCTTCAAAAAGCTGCGCTTTAGGTTACATTGCCCTTTTTTTTTCCCCAACAGGACTTGCTAAATTATTCAAGAACCGAATGGCTTTTGTTTATTTGAAAAGTACAGTTAACAGTCTGCAAAAGCTTGACATTGTGAAAAACTCTTCCTTGCAAGAAGTGCCAGGGATCTCAGACGTATTCAGCACTTAACCTGTTTGTCAAGAAATGAAGGGGAGCTATTTTTCCCTGTTCCAAAATTATTCTCTGCAGCTGAATTCTTCCTCTGAACATTGCCTCTATTTCACTCTTTATTCTGTGAAAAATGTATTGAAATGTTCCAGGAGCGTATTTTTACACTGGGTGGGATTCAGGCAGAGAGAGTAAACGAGAGCCTGGGTGGGTAAATAGGGGATGCTGCACATTTTATTTCTTAGAAGAATCTTTGTGTAAATTTGATCCAAGTAACTAATWACTGATTTTGATAAAGCTAATTCGGCGTTTTATGCTGGATAACTGTCCATCCTACTTCTTTATTTCCATATGCTTGTTTTGCTTCATAAATATCAGACAAGGACATGGTCGTTGTCTGATCCTTTTGCTGTATATCTGATTAATGCTTGATTTTTAACACTGTGCTATGGGCTGTTGGTTCAAAACCATATCTT